TGGGCTCCATGAATCTCCTGCCAGAATACCAGTGGGAATTAGAGCGGACTAGCGAGCAGATTGTCAGGTAGCAAGCAGAAAGCCCTGAAGGAATGATCCACCCAGCTAAGGGTTTGGGAACGCCTTGCCTCTGGAATAGTGAGGGGAACCCTGGGGTAGGGGCGGGAGTATTTAGCCATTATCTCTTTTTGTCTATCCTTCCTAATGAATAAACAATGACAACTCAGACAGCTCCTGCTGGAGAACTCTAACAAAAAGGATCAAAACATTAACAGACACATACTAAAGGATAATGGAAACTCATCAAACTTAAATTTTCGTGTGTGAAGATGCACCTTTTTTTTTGTTTTTACTGTGTTTAGGGCCTGTAATGATCAGTGGGAGAGGATCGACCTGGGGTAAGTCTAAACAGATGAGGCACCTGTCACAATGAACAAGATAGTTTATTGCATGTTAGTAATAAATCCGATTAACAAATATAGTAGGAATTGCAGATGCTGGAGAATCTGAGATAACAAAGTGTAGAGCTGGTTGAACACAGCAGGCCAAGCAGCATCAGAGGAGCAGGAAAACTGATGTTTCGGGCCTGGACCCTTTTCCTGCTCCTCTCATGCTGCTTGGCCTGCTGTGTTCATCCAGCTCTACACCTTGTTATCTCCAATTCACAAATATGCCTAGTCAGGCATAATTACTGTGGGCCCTCGGGAGCTGTACAGAATATGTCTCCTCTCTTCAGATGCTTCGGCAAAACTCCACCCCCTCAACACAAAGGCTGTGTGATATCATCAGATTGGGTGGAGCCAATGCCACTTCAACATCAACTCTTTCAGAACCATTGCCTTCTGCAACAGACCTGAAACTTTCTGAGTAAGGCCCAGAGATTCCTGCTCCTCCTCACCCTTAAATAAAAATAGAAGTTCCTTTTTTTGAGGGGGGTGGGAATCTTTGTTGGCCTCAGTTCCTCTTAGGACTGATAGGAAATCACAACAGCCTCCTTGTGGATTCGTGGAAATTGACCTTGCTCTTTAAAGAGGAGTCCCATTGGCTTTTACTGCTGCATCCCCGTAATTACATTCTACTGTAATATTGCTAAGGGATGGTGTGTGTAACGTTCTGATCAGTGTATCCCTGAATATGTACACAGTTAAAATATGTCATCACCACACAGAGTGATGCAAGTTTACACATAACACAAAATAGTAGTAGAGTTAATCCCCCAATAATGTGTATGTAGAGTTCACCTGTAGCCGTGCCTATAGTCTACTGGTCTGCAATTGAAATCCAACGGTCTGTTACCATTCATCAAGGTAAAGTTGACCCATTTGTGTTAGAGGGGTGGTAGCACAACATAGTGGCAGCTGTGTGTATGCCTGAAGACCATGTTGGATTTCAGATGGTAGGAATACAAACTGATGGGCAGTGGCAGATATTAGAGTTGTGGTGATTTATATCAGAACCAGTGAACACAAAGTTAAACATGCAAAGCATCAGGGAAAACCCAGAAAAGCTGCATGGCACTAGCATCTGCTTTAGGTGGTTACAAAGGAAGGGTACAGGGTGGAAAGTCAACTGGGAAAATTAGTGTTTGGCAGAATCAGGCTGCAATTGTTGGTTGAGAATGGGCCAGATATACTGAGAAGCTGCCAGGGTATCGTCCCATCCCACGTGCTTTCTGAGTAGAACTGATAGCACAAGCTGACAGAGGATCAAGCTGCAGATACAGTAATAACGGACACAGGGAATGTCAGAGGAGCTCAGCAGCTCTGGCAGTACCTGTGGAGAGAGAAACAGAGTTAACGTTTTTGAGTCCGGTGTGACTGCCCTCGAGAACTATGGTAATCTATGAGTAATGCTTTCATCAAAGAAATCACAGTTTAAAGAAATCAGAAGAATCTTCGAGAGGCAAGGAACTGCAACACACACACACAAAAACTGCAAAGTATTCTCCAAATTTTGCATTCAAATTTGGATTCAATTTTTTTCAACAAAGAATTGAGTCGCTCTTTTTGAATCAGACAATCGTTGAACCTGACAAGCAAGCAATTAAGACCAAAATCATGCAGCAATCCACAACAGAGCACTGTATCACATTAATACCGCAGGGCTATCTGATGAAGATCAAATGGAGCCTTTAAAACTCAGGGATGACATTGGAAGATCAGCTTCAAGTTAAGGCAAATTTTAGGACCCACCAACAAGCTTTAGTGGCATGCGGGCAACAGCAGTGGGACCAATTGACCGATCTCTGAGTCAACGTCATGATTAGGCCGGAGACTGTGGTTTCTCAGAGGCAGAGTCATTGGAAAGAATGGTGGATCTTGTTATTGCCCCACCCCAATTGAAGAGTCCCAGAAGGACTTGTTGAAAAAGAAAAATGGACATAATATCAGCAGCTTCCTCTAGGATAGGAGGGAATATGAAGACTTCATTGCAGATAAACTATATCTACAAGGATTGGATGACAACCACTCACCTGGCAAAGTAGGTGACGGCCTTGAAAGGCAACAAAATATTGAATTAATCTCAGGGATAAGAAAACTTTGCCAAATGGCAAATTTCCCAAGATTATGTTTTGGAAAACGACCAATGGCATTTTCTGTTCTGATCTTTGGAGCAGCTTAGAAAAAAAGAATTGGAGATGCCAACAGGAACTTCTGCTTCCGAGTGTTGGGCATCTTGTGGTTTTCAGGCAGGAACACTGGCTCTCCTGCTCTCGGAGACTACCTTCTTGTTTGTGAAAGCAGACATTAATCGCCAGGTGGACCGCCAGTTATGGGACGTGGGAAATGAATGCTCAGCAGTGATTGGAGGAGCAGTGAGAGCAGGAGAAACAGAAGACCTCCTCCAATTGCAGCCTCTGTCTGAATTGAGCTGGGGACTGTACTGGTGTGGGGTAGGAGCTGTACTGGTGTGGGTTAGGGGTTGTACAGGTGTGGGGTAGGAGCTGTGCTGGTGTTGGGTAGGGGTTGTAAAGGTGTGGGGTAGGGACTGTATTGGTGTGGGGTAGGGGCTGTACTGGTGTGGGGTAGGAGCTGTACTGGTGTGGGTTAGGGGTTGAACAGGTGTGGGGTAGGGGCTGTACTGGTGTGGGGTAGGGGTTGTACAGGTGTGGGGTAGGGGCTGTACTGGTGTGGGTTAGGGGTTGTACAGGTGATGGGTAGGGGCTGTAGTGGTGTGGGTTAGGAGTTGTACAGGTGTGGGGTAGGAGTTGTACTGGTTTGGGGTAGGAGTTGCACAGGTGTGGGGTAGGGGCTGTACTGGTGTGGGG